TATCTGTGGGAACATTTTACTTTCAAAATTTTATGATCCGGCTTATACGCGGGTGGGCGTATCTGTGGGTTTTTAGGGTACATAAAATATTTTTAACACATTACGGTTTGTCCGCAAATCGGCTATAATCTCGAAAGATACGAAGACTTTCTGTATCTAAACATATGGACGCCAACACTAGACACTAGCGCTCAGTTACCTGTACTGGTGTTTATTATTTCAGGTGGATTTGACACCGGGTAAGCCAGGCCAATACAATAGGCAAAAGTTTGCCATTAAAAACGTGGTGTATTTGTCAATAAATTTTTGCTATAGTGATTTTGCCTATATGTGCACCAATAAGCCGGACGCGGCCAGAAATATGGCTATGGGATCAAGTGATGGCATTGAATGGACGCATAGATATTTCCGACACTTTGGCGGTAATGGCAGTAATATAACACTGTTTGGCCAGAACTTAGGTAATATTTCGATCAAGGTCCGGTTGTGTCCAATGCAGCCAACACTAGAAAACTATTTTGCAAATCTGTTAAATATGATAAAAAATTATATGTTTTTAATATTAGAGTTTAACAGATGTTATATATTTATAGTTAATTTTTATAGTTAATATTTGTTTTTGTATATTAGTATAGTTTTTATATTTGTTAATTGGAATTTGAAAAAGTGACTAGTAATAGTATAGACTAAATTGTATAGACTAAATTGGTGGTTTTTACCATATAACAATTTGTTAATATATTGGATGTGTTTATAAGGATAAATGTAATCATAGTTACAGTTTGTGTTTACTTAATTTTCACAACATTAGTAAATAGAAATTTAATTCCTAATAATGTTTCAATTTTAAGATTTATATTTAGCATAATTACCATGTTCATTTTTGACAAATAGTCTAAAATTAATACTATTTTTCAATTCAAAAATAATATAAAATATACAAAACAAACTTAATTAAAACTTATTTTACAAAAAATAAAATTTTTCTATATAATCCCAATTAATTATTATTTATTTTGTAACTTCTATGTTTCTTTAAGAAAAGCAACATGATTACAGTTTCCATCGTATATTTATAAATACAATATAATTATTATAAATTTAATCATAATTATTATACGGCAATATGTTTATCTGAATTGTTGCAAATTCGTAATAATAATTTGTTATTTATAACATTCAAAACTGTAAAAACTGCTATTAATAATGAATTATTTATTTATTGAAATAAAGTTTTTAATTTTTGGGATATAAGACTATGTGACATTTTGACTATGTTTTATATAATTTTTTTTATACAATTTAAAATTTGTTATTATATACTATAATATATGTAATTATAATTTTAGTTTAATAAAATTGTAACAAATATCTGCCATCTTAAAGTTTGTTAATTGCAAATAAGTTTTATATAATAATAAATATAGTTAACACAATTGTCATGTTTACTAATTACTTATGAGAAACAATTCTGGATTAATACAGTTTTAAAATAAAGACATTAATGTTTAAGAAATGCTAAATAAGTAAAATAAAATTAGATTCCAGTAAATTTAAAATAATATTGTTGGTTTTTACCATAATGTTATGATAAATTATAGACATGGTATATTTCGTGTCTGTTAGCAACATTATTACAGTATTCACAGGAATATTTTGAACGCATAAATATACAATATCAAAATTAAAATTTATTTTTATTCACCTAAGGTTATTTAACATAAATAAAACAGTTTATTTATAAATAAATATAATGTAATTTTATTTGTTTATTAATATAGAAACATATAGAAATATCGGTTTAAATAATAAAATAAAAATAATGTTTTCTGTAAATATTAATGATTGTAATTATGCAATTAAAGTTTATATAATAAAAGTTTATATAATAACTTTATATAATAAAAGTTCTTGTTAGATAATAATATTTTATATTTTGTGAATTTTAGTTTTGATTAAAATAATCAAATAGAAACTCATATTGGTAATTCTCTGGTATGTTGAATATGGTGGACAATTCATTAATTACATTATTTAAATCAATGTTCAATTCAAACATATTCAAATTTGATAGCAATTCCATAGAGGTGGGTCGAGTGTTTATTGTACCATCTAACATTGTTTGTATTTTACGTTTTAATACCATTACTTGATCATGGCCAAATAAGTTGTAGTCCAAGTTGTTGACTCTGAAACACAAATAAAAGTAATCATTATGAAATTTACATTTTAAAAATAACTAATTAATTAATAATTAAAATTATTTATTGCTGTTTACAATAATAACATTAATTAATAAAAATAGTGAAAATACTATTTAATTATTTAACTCACGTGTCAATATTGAAAACCTCTGTTAATATTTGGCCCAGGCTAAATATATCAGACGCTGTGGTACATGTACCAAGTTCAATCTCGGGGGCAATAATATATGAAAAATTATTGTTTTGTTCAGGACAAATCGGCGGCATTATGCACATTTTGCCATCAGTTAAATCTCTATCGCATAATACGGTTAATGTGTTTAGTTTATTGTGAATAACTGGTGGGTTTGCCAAATGATGAATTGAGTTAAAATAGTGTAGCAATTCACGTAATATTTTCAATGATATTACGTAATCAAATATTTTGGTGAGGTGAGTTTGAATTATATTCACTTTCGTCTGATTTGCAAGAATTGGGGAAAATGTTTTATAATAAATATTATGGTAATAATGGCTTTAATCCACCCGTTATTCAAAACTGTTAAAACTTTTGGAATCAACTAATCAATAATGGATTTAAATAAATGTATAATTTTATGGTTTGTTTAAAAAGTGATAAAGTATAATGATATTGGTTTTGTTAAAACAGTTGAAATGTCATTATTATATAATTTTATTTTGAATATATAAAATTATTTAAACGAGTCAATATAAAAATGCTTAACAAAATTTCGTATTGTGTGTGACAAAACCAAGGTGTGTAAATAATAAATTATATGCTTCTATCGTTTGATTTGCAAGAATTGGGACAAATGTTTTTCAGTTAATATTATGCTAATTGGGTTTAACCTAAGGTTATTTAAAATTGTACAATCTATTAGAATGACTTAATTATTAATGGTTTTAATTAATTGTATTAAATTTGTTGATCATTTGAATTGTTGTGAATTAGTTATAATTTAATTGTGTAATTTATATTTAAGTCTTTCAAAACTGTAAAAAAATATGTAAGCAATGAATTATTTATTCACTAGAATATAATTTTTAAATATTGGAGGGTTAATGAAGGCCAATTTTTATTAATATTTTATAAGATCAATATCCTATATTAATTAACATGGTTATTACATATAATACCAGTTAATTATCATATATTTTGTACCGTTTATGTTTATTTTAAAGAAACATAATAATTACAGTTTCTAATTATTCATAAATCAAATTAAATTTATTAAAACTATTATTTAATTTCAAAATATATTTAACTATATACTTTATTAGTTTTATTGTTTATTGATATAAAAATATTATTTATAATTTAAATATTATTAATAAATTTTAGTCTTAAAAATTACAATTTTAATAAATATTTTTTAGCTTAAAATACTTAATTAAATAATTATATTTGTTTTTGTTTGGCCAATTAATTTACTTAATTCATTGAATAGCATGATAGTATCAACATTTAATTTAAAATCAGTCAAGCTATTTGCCAATTCCATGGTGGTTGGGCGAGATTTATAAATACCGTCGAGCATATTGTGTATTTGTTTCTTTAATAAACTAGGTTGTTCGTAGTCAACGATATGATATTCCAAATCCCTATGTGTAAAATAAATTAACATTTATACTACACAGATGGTTATAGGTTAAGTTGGTTTAACATTATCAATTTAATACTGCGCATATAAGCTAATAACAAAATTATGATCAAGGTATTTAGTTAAAACATTACATACATGTCAACATTAAATAGATGTGCCATAGTTTGACCAAAACTAAACACATCGGACGCCGGCGTGTATTTACCACGCTCATTTTCATCGGCCATATATCCTGGTGATCCTTTACACTTATCGGTATACGTGTGCGATATATCTTCATATTTAATTGACAAACCAAAATCAGCTATCTTGATCAATGTACCATGTGACAAATTTGGATCGCAGAGTATATTTGATGGCTTTATATCAAGGTGAAGCACCTTGGCGTGATGATGTAGGTAACGTAAAACGCTCACTATCTCCCAATATATTTGCCACGATATTATGTAGTCAAATAATTCGATGTATTTATTACCAACGTGTCTTTTTAATATCGCATTTTTATTCTCGATTACTAATTTTAAGGTCATTTCGCAATAGCCCATTTGTATAACTAGCCACTTGTCGCTGTACAGTCTACTATTATAATATTTAACAATGCAAGGGTGATCAAGGTCGGCCAGTATTTTGCATTCATTTGATCGTCCTTGTTAAAATAAGAAAATGATAATTAATTAAACAAATATTCAAGAATGGGAAAATAGATAATCAAGATGAAAAACACTATACCTTTGGATGTGGTAATTTTTAATGCATAAATTCGGTTATCATTACGATCTTTGACTTTTATCACTGTACCAAATGCACCTACCCCAATTTTAGCCATACTTTCAAGTTGGTCATTTTTAGTAAAATATTCCTCAATTATTTTATCCATATCATTTTCTGATAACATGGGACTTTGCTCAGGGAGATTCTCATGAGACGTGTAATGAATATTTTTTAGTCTATTACAATAAATATAAACAATTGCAAAGGATATTGTTATAATTAATACTATAGTAACTATTGACCAATATAGAATATAAATGTAAATATCATTTGATGGATTGTCTAATTTTTGCTGCGATATGTTTGGCATGTAATAAGTTGGTAGTAAAGTCACTGGATGCAGTGTTGTTGTAATATTAATTTCTTGGTTGAATACATGAACTTGGTTATCTTGGTAAACTTGGTTAATTACATTACTATTGCCATCTAATGTCTCATTGACAGCAAATGGTATTTGAGTTGATGTCAATATTGCAGTCAACCTTGTTGTGAGCTTTGTGGTAGATGTGACCATTTGTATTGTGCTGAATTCGGCTGGATAGCATAATGGTTCATTTTCCAAATAATGCTTGCATTCTCTCCATGGTAAATCTATTGCCTCGTATCGCATTTTCAACCTTAGAGCTTCCTCGTCCCATTTCCAGCAATGTACCTAATGGTACGTAATGTATTGTATTGTAGATACCAGAAATTTAAGTGTAAACAAAGAATAAAGTTCAATGTTAATTAGTAAAAGGCCCAAAATTTTATATTAAAATTTTTTTGTTGTTTTTAATTTCCGAAATTAATTATCATTGTGAGCATAATTGAAATTGATATAAATGATGTACAGTAATTAAGTTAATCAATATAAATANCCGAAATTAATTATCATTGTGAGCATAATTGAAATTGATATAAATGATGTACAGTAATTAAGTTAATCAATATAAATACCGTGCATTACTTTTACTAAATTTCTTAATTTTGATATAACTTTTGCACATTATGTCAGATTTGGGAAATTCCTTCAGATTTCAAATCCTCTCATCCATACCTTTCCATTGATATATAATATGATATACTTATTCATAAGATACAATATTTGGCATTTAAATTTTTCCCGATAAAAGTGGTCACTACGGCCAAACCCGAGGTCGTCTGGCCAAATAAAATATACCACAGTACTTCCTACAGAGTGTACTTTCGATTAATAACAATAATTCCCGAGTGCACTCTGGGCCTAATATGAACATTGTCTTTTATGTTTTAGTTTAAAATTCTGAGAATTTATTGTGAATTGTTTTGAGTTAAGTTTGATTTCTTTTCAATATTGCAATTGTTATGGAATGTTATGTGAAATCATGTTTTAGTTTATAAAATGTTTATGTATGTATGTATTTCCTATTCAATTGGTATATAAGCTATTGATTACTTGTATTAAAAGTCTGTCTATTAGTCTATCACTTGTCTGTTGCCAACTATTGTAAAAGTCTTGTTATTTAATAAATATATTTGTGTTAAACTAAAAGCCAAGTTATTCTGAATTAGTGTCCATAAGAGTCTGATCTCTAGTGATCGGGCCTTTCGGCCCGATTCCTACAGTATTATAGTATTAAAAGCAAATAAAAATTTGATTGCATGCTACCATCTGTGATGAGACGAATTACAAAGTTCCTATTTAATAACCATTTTTAACTACTATTCTGATATGAATAATGTGATTTATAGGATCGTCCGGCTACCCTCTCCCCCTCCCGCTCTATGGAATTTAACATGGGATTACAGCTTAAGCCTATGGCTATACTTTAACATGGGATTCTTGAGTCTATGGGGAATTAACATGGGATTACAGTTTAAGTCTATGACTATACTTTAACATGGGTAATGCTAAGCTTATGGTACAGGGATATCATGGATAATGCTAAGTCTATGGTATAGGAATAACATGGGTAACTCAATGAGACTAATGCTAATTCTAGGGAATAATGTTAAGTCTATGGACAATGCTAAGTCTATGGGGAGTGCTAATCCTATGGACTCTTATTGAATGTGTAGATAATGGTAATCTATTCTTTGAGAATCACCCGAATAGTGGTTAACGTATAGCATCCCTGTGTGATCCTTGTTTAATAATCTGAACACTATAATCTTTATTTTAATCTATTAATAGATAATAATATTTATTTTAATTATAAAATTGTCTTAACTATTAAACTAACATTAATTCTATATTTGAATATTAAAATATCTCAATAATACAAAATATTTTTACCTTAATACATCTTATTTTGCAGTCATTATTACGCCAAGCAGGACAACACCTTGTAAGTTCATATTCAGTAGAAAATATTATGCTATAATTTATATTTTTACAACGATGCAAACATTGTTTGGCCCGAATTGCACAAATTGGACTCAGTTGGCATTCAATATATAAATTTATAATGTATATAAACATCAATAAATAAATTATTACCCAACTCATTATAAAATATAACAGTGATATAAATGTTCACGTTGATTTTCAACTATGAATTAATTTGTAAATGTGTAAATATTTATTTAATTAGTACAATAACTCTATAATTAACACTTATAAAATAAACATATTATTTATCAAACATACAAATCAGATATTTATAGTTAAATTCGGTACAAAATGTATATGTTAAATTTAATTACAGTAAATTGTAACACTTGAATGAATGGACCAAATGAGTTTAATATAATAGTTTAATTGTAATGCGTAATAATGAAGATGCACCACATCATTTGACAGCCTAACACCTACTTACTATCTATATGAATTGTAAGTTAGTAGTTATGGTATGACTACCTGTATTTAAAATGTCTGTTGATAATAGAAATTTTTAATATTACATTTAACTATTTAACATTTATCTGAAATAAGGGTACAAAATACAATAATCATATATACATGTATAATAGTTGAGTACAACAATGAGCTCTGGGGAAAATATATTTTATTGATTACCTTTACATATTATCTAAATTTTATATTAAATTAATAAACAAAGAGTAAGACAACTAAAACTATCCAAGACTCATTATATAGATCCAGATGATAATAAATTGAATATAAATTATATTACTTTAAAATATCCGAATTAAGCTAATTATATCCGCATATGGTGCAAAACATTGCTATTTACCATAATTAAATGTTTATAAAAAAATGGCGTAACCCTCAGGTATATGGCCATTGGCCAATTTTTACTCATCTATGTACTGTATGTCAGACCTTTTACTGGCTATATGACCATGTTAATTTAGTGACTAAATTACCAAATAACCTTGTATAGGTACAATTTGTCTAAATTACTGGTTAGTTAATAACCTATTTAAAAAATCAAATAACTATTAACATCTCATTTTGTTCAAAATGCAAACCTAATATAAATTTCAAGATATATTTAGCGTATCAAATAAAAAATTTGCAGTCATATAAGTTACACCGGCAAATATTGCCATAAACAAACTTAGGTTAATAGTTGAACCAGCGCATGTTTGTTGAACATAATTTAACAATCTACAATCTTCCTGAGTGTACAGCGCTTGACGTCCAGTTTGCATGTCGGTCACCATTACACTCATTGTATCAATTAAATCACCCGCCATATGTTGTTCAGCGGCCGTACATTTCAGCTTTAATAATTTATAATCATATAAGGGGGTCAACTAATTTCGCACATGTGGTTTTGCAGATAATTTTTTACAACATAATCCAATTTTATAAAAATTTTATAAGAGTGTCATAATCTTAAGTTATTCTGAATAATTTATATAGATTTTGGTCAGGTGGTGTGTTTATTATAAGGGTTTTAACACTAACCCACCGGAAAGCATTGAAATAGACCTATGTTTTTCAATCTGTAAATACCATATTACAACTTGTACATGTTTGATTTTAATAATTTATTTTGTTTTATCTTATACATTTGTAATCGTTATATAAATTAAACATTAGGACCATCTTTATATTTCTTATATTCTGACCAGAATTAGAGATTTGGAGTTTCCGCGTAATACATATACCACGTTACCAAAGTTTATATTCATATTAATCAGAAAAACTAGCTTTATTGGCACTCTTATATATTTTTTACAGAATTTAATTACCTATTATAGTTTGCAATAATAGACAAAACAGCATGTGCGAGATTAGTTTCCCGCCCAGTATGTTGTAGAAGCATTTATATGTTTTAGTAATAAGTAAAAATTAATTTTACCTTGACAGTTTGTTTATTACATTCAATATTTGACCATAACCAGTTACATGAATACTTCTTATTACCGGTGGTATAACTGTAACAGCCGTTAAATTCATTGCACCTTGTTGCATTTGAATAGACATGCTGCAGACAATTGTATGAGGCTGTATCGTTATAATCTAGCCGTAAATAATGTGGTGAATTAATCTTGCATTTAATATCATTTTCATTGAAAATAGCCCAACAGTATGAATATCTTATGCACAAAAGTAATATAATAATTTTTTCAACATCAAACATTATTAAACATTAATTGTTGTAGTTATAATGTTTTAAATTACTAAACATTTACTGTTATAATAATTATTTTATTTGTATGAATATCTTATGCACAAAAGTAATATAATAATTTTTTCAACATCAAACATTATTAAACATTAATTGTTGTAGTTATAATGTTTTAAATTACTAAACATTTACTGTTATAATAATTATTTTATTAATTTTTATAATTATATTATATTGTTTGTACAACAATTAAAATATTTATTAATTAATAGATTATATTAATTATAATTTTATTATTTTGGTCTTAGCTGTTTTTTAAAAACATACCAAAGTCATATGATTTTTTTGCCCAAAATTAGCTTGTTGTTAGGATATCTAATTATAATATTACAGTTTTAGTATTTATAGATGTTTATAACGGTTATATGTTACTATAAATTATAACATAATCTATAATGATACGTCTATCTAAATTACAATGCATATTGATTAATGAAATGCATTTAAGTATACAAGATTAATACTAAATAATATATTTATTATATAACAGTAAATATGGATACATAGATTATAAGTTTGCAAGTTTTATTTGACCATAATATATTGTTTACAAATTACATACAATAAATCTTAAATCTAGTTTGCATATAAACAAGAAATTATTAATTGCTTACTAAATCAATATTTTGTAGATATTATTAAATAAAAGTATAAATTTAATAATATAACATGCGCTCAACAAATGATTTGTTCCTGATAAAAGCCTAGGCAGTATCTTAGAGTATATTGTTAAAATTAATTTAACTTAAAATAGATTAAGCCACATGCTCTTTTGCACACGTAACGTATAATTTCTACAAAGTACGAAATAATCACGTAAACATAATGGGCTACGATGAGGGTTCACATATTTTACGTCGACTGGCACTAGAAATATCTACACACATCCCCATCTTAACCATTTATATCTACCTTGATTATTACTCACACGCACATACTGTCTAAGGATTGCAAATTTTTGAAAAATTATCATAATTATTTTATTAGATATAAATTATATCATAACGTATTATTCTTGAAAGTGAAAGTAAACAAGTGAAATACTACATTCTTGTGATATTACAATTAATAAACATGATAAAAACTTATACTGATATGGTTCTTTGTTTATGAAGTATTACCATTTATGGTAATATTATAAATGTACAACGGAACAATGATGATAATTAAAACTTGCAAATTTTGTAACTAATTTAATAAAAAATTATGTCTATCTAGTGTTGTAAATAATTAAAGTTATAACTTATTTTAGTGCAAATAAATTTAAACATTTGTTATTTTACAGTAATAATTTTAATGTTATAAATATTATATTATTCACTCACAATGAAAAACTCTACATATCCTTAACGCTTAATATTAATTCATTTTATGTGATTTGGTGAGTGCAGGACTATTGAGTTTTTAGACATTGTATGTTTATATGATTTAAGAGGTATTAAGTTGTTGAAAGTTGTTTGTTGAATATATTTGCAATACAAGTGCATTTTTGGATACTTCAATATCTTTAGTTATTTTGATTTTAACACAAACATTAAATTTATACTTATTTGTTGTATTGTTTAATAAATATTTATATACACAAAAGCAATTATATAAATATAATAATAACAAATAACTATGACAACAAAAATTATTAAATGTACATTAATTACACTAAAAGATTAATTATAGATATCTATTTTAATTAATACTTTTAGAATATATTAATTAAAATATTTAATACAAAAATGTAAAACTTTATTATTAAAATTTAGTTTAACAATAATTTAACAATAAATTGTTTATTTATACTAGCTATGTTTGAGTGTTTGTAACAATGGGTTACAAGCAACTACAACCAATACATAAAACGAAATTGTCTTTATATACTGTAATATATTAAATGTAAAGGTACATGTTATACATTTGCCAACAGTAAGAGTAGTTCATGATCATGACTTTCTTCTCGAGTCTATAATGAGCCAAAATTGCATTATAATTTGCAATCTTCTATGCTATTATATATTAATTATGGTTAAGATACAAGATACCTTATTATTAAATTGAGCACAATTTATAGTTTAATATGAAATATGTTAAATATTAATAAATAGACAATAATTACAAATAGCGTGACATTTCTCATTAGTAATGTATGATAAACCACTTACAGTTTAATTAAATTTAAACAGTAATTACGACCAATGATTAAAGACATTGGTAACTACTGGTTAGTTTATACCTAAAACTTATCATTATAAAATAATAAACGTAAGGGTAGACACTACTATACGTAGAATATGTATTATCAACCAAATAACAAACAATAATCACTTGCGATGTTATAACTCAACCACAATCATGAGATAAAAATTTTAATGAATAATAATTTTAAATTGTAATAGATAAAATTATTAGTTATTGTTAGAATACTTTTAAAATTGTAATTTCCATAATTTTAAATATTTTTAACAACAATTGAATTTTATTTAAATTAATAGTTTTAAAATACCTCAACTTTAAAAGCTATATTCTATAACATTACTATAAAAATAACATAAATTTTATAGATTTAAATTAGTATTGTCCATAAACAGCATTATCTGTGTTAAGTCGATGTTAAAAACATAAGACGTAATCCCATAGAATCCGATGTTAAACATTTTTTAAAATAAAATTAATGGATTAGCTTAAAAAACTATCTATTTCTTAACATCTCAATTTCCTATAAAACTAAATTTATCAATAAAATTACATTATTTAAATGTCAATCTTATGCCATATGCTTAACATTAGCCCATATTAAAATATAGATATACACTTAAAACGAAACCTCATGTTAAATGCCATAAAGCGGAGGGTATAGATGAGAGTAGCCAAACGATTCTATAAACCATAGTATTCTAAACGGAATTGTGGCTAATAAAAAATAAATGTGAAATGCATAATTTTGTAAAATAATTATAGTTAATATTATTGTTCATTGAAATAGTTATAAAAAAATATTAAGTATTTATAATAAGTTAAATAAAAAATAATCTTATTTGTTTTTGATAATGTGCAATATTATATTATTAGTAGTAAAATATTATTAGTAAACTTTTATAGTCAAATATTGTGTAAGTAATCTAGATGTTTAATCTACATATTTCATGATAGGGTTGACAATGTTTAATGTTTTGCTATTTTATAAATATAATGTATTTCAAATCAATGTTGATGTTTATTATTTGTAATTTATTTTTAACAAATATTACATTATTTATTTATAATGTTAAATAAATATGATAAATTTCTAGACAATATAAACATTATTATTTTGACTGGTTCGGTTTATTTGTACAGTAATAATTAGGGTTGTGACACTTGGTAAATTACAATTTTACCGTGGTAATTTACGGTAATTTACATGTAAATTACCAAGTTTTCTGAATCTTACATGTAAATTACAGCATTTAAACACGTGACTTGCCAAAATATAAAGAATTTTTAATATTAGTCATATCAAAAATGCCAATAATCAAATAATTAACAAAATTTGAAAATGAATTATTACTGGATTTATAATTAAAATTGATATAAATAAAAGACAATAATGACTATTATTAATAAATCTCGAGAAAAATTTCTTTCAAAAATTATAAAAAAAAATTCCGAACTTAATTATAATTATTATAGTAGTTCATTAGTTTTTAATTATATTACAAGCGATAACTATCGTAATTAGGTATATAATTAATATTCCATAATGAACTGAACATTAATTCAATTTATTTGTGGAAAATTACCAATTTTACCGAATATTACCGTAAATTACCGAATATTACCTGTAATGTAAAATTGAAATGAATATTACAGGTAAAGTAACAACCCTAGCTATTATACTAGTCTTTCGGTTAATCATTTCCCATTGTATATAGTATTTTGCTTTCCAACCTTTATATACACATCAAATGCAATGTATTTAAATCATTACAGTCTATAAGAGTGACACTTTTTTATTTGATTTATATTAAATTGTAGTGAATATAATAGTGTTAGTATCATTAAAACCTAACTTACATGTAAAGTATAATATGTTATATATTAATAATATTATTATATGTTTTTAATAATATATTTATTTATTTAATTTATGTTTTAATTTGTAAGTTAATTCTCTTTTTTAACTCGATATGCAGTTACACTTTAGAGCATGGACTATTTAGTGCGATAAAGTAGCAAATGTTTTGATGTATAAAATGTAAGCTCGTTATTAATGATATGGATTAAACCTAAAAAATATGCACTTAACCATACAGTGTTGTGTTATTGTGTTAACCTATTTGAATCACAACTAAGGGCATGAATTTAATCTAGGTTTTATATTATACACGTTCATTTTTAATAGAATAATTTTATTATGATTGTTAGTAAATAAAATATTAAATAATTTAGATAAAATGAAAAATGTAACATAAAGTTATATAAAAGGTAGTTGAATATTAATTGTAATTTACATTTATTAAATAAAATTTTTACTTGAGCAATTTTTTAACAGCCGCTACCGCCGGTTTGGGCTTACAGTCAACTGTCCAGAGCTGTTGCTCTCCATATCCCTTATCAAATATATTTGAATACTTGTCGGTAAAGCCCCAGACAGTGACTCCCACACAACGCTCTACGTTCATACAGGCCTGGAAGGCGTGCGCGTAATCTTGGGTCTGTTTATTAATCTTTTCCTGCGAGCCAGGTAATTTATATCTAATATTGAGCTCGGTGATTGCCACATCTAGACCCAGATGAGAGAACCTTTGGATATTCTCCTGGAGAGAGGCGGGCACTGAACCCTCCCGGAAGTGGGCTTGCATTCCCACCCCGTGGACGGGCACACCCGCGGCCAACCAGCCCTTCACCATCGCGTACAGTGCGTCTGACTTATTATTAATTGCTTCAATGCCGTAGTCATTGATGTATAGTTTGGCGTTTGGGTCGACAGCGTGTGCCGTACGGAATGCCTGCTCAATGAACTCGACGCCTAGCGTACGGCTAAACAGTGAGTCCCGGAGTTTATCGCCGGGGTCGTTCTCATTGAGCACCTCATTGACCACATCCCAGGCGTATATTTTGCCCTTGAAATGGCCTGCCACACTTTTGATATGGTCATGAACTACCTTGTTCAATTCTGACTTATTTCCATCCAGTTTCATGGCGTAGTCGGGCACCCGTCTGTGCCATAGAAATGTGTGGCCACGAAATGACATGTTGTGTTTGCGGGCATAATCGACAAGTATGTCGGCGTTGGTCCAATTGTAAACGCCCTTGCTACTTTCCAATACAGACCATTTCATCTCGTTCTCTGTTGTGCCTGAGTTAAACTCCTGGCCCACGATTTCCATATATTTTGCATCGTTCAAACCCAGCGATGTTATTGCTGTGCCGATGTATTTCTGTTTAGCATGGTCACGCAGGTGACACTCAATCCTACTTGGCCAAATTTTAATTATTAAAAATATACCATTTTTAAATATTGATAGTGTTATTAAATTTTATTAATAAATCAAATTAAATAAATTAAATAATTTACATACATAATAATTGTGGTAAACAAAATTATTGCTTTTAACATAATTGTTATTTGTTTTTAATGCATTTGACATTGATAAAATAAATTTACTACTGAATATTAAACAATTTTAGTACATATATAATAACTGTGTTACTTATATAATAACGTGGTGGCTGAATAAATATTGTCGCAATACAATAGCAATTAAATGCAATTTGTATTAATTTATGTATCGTTATTATCAATGTATAATTTTTATAAATTAAACTACAATACTTACATTAGTATTTACTTACTTACTTACTGTACTTCAATGAAATTTTAAGCTTAATAGATTATTATATTGTAATTGATTAATAATTATTTTAATCATTTGCCTCTAATTTTCGGTACAATTTATATAAACGATAATTAGCTGATTATCACTAATTTTAGCCCAAACACAATACTTAAGCACATTTTGTACATATAATAACAACGAGTTTATAAATAATAAACTTAACATTTAAAAAATGACTAGAAATGGCAATTAAATTAAAATAAATTTTAAAATAAAAATAAACAAAGATCAGAACTGATTGAGGCCATTATCAGAAAATTGATGGGCCATTTATTAGGTACTTAGCTTCATCATTTCCCATTGTATATAATACTTTGCTTTCCAACCTTTATATACACATCACATGCAATGTATTTAAATCATTACAGTCTATAAGAGCGACACTTTTTGTTTGCTGTTTTTGTTTGTATTAAAATGTTGTGAATAAAATACTGTTAATATTATTAAAACCTAACATGTATGTTAGTTTTTAAGTATATGATTAGTTATCTAATTTATATTTAAATTTTGTAATATAACAATATAAAAACAATTCTTGTTTTTTTAACTCAATACGGAGTTACAATTTAAGTTTGGTACTGTGACCGGAAGTCTCTAGCTAAATATTTAGCAAGTTTAAACATAACAGATTATTATATCAAAATTGATTAGTAATTATTTTAATTATTTGTTTCTTATTTGTGCTATAATTTATATCAACCATAATGAACTAATTGTTATTAATTTTAGCACAAACACAACATTTAAGCACTTTTTGTATTTATAATAACAACAAGTTTATTATATCTTTTCACAAAAAAACTAGAAATGTTAATTAAATTTAAATAAATTTTAAAATACAATAAAATAAATAGGAATCAGTTGTTGTAATTGAGGCCATTAGCAGCGAACTGATGGGCCATTCATTTCTAGGTGCTGCTCATCATCATTTCCCATTGTATACACTATTATGCTTTCCAACTTTTATATGTCAAATGCAATGTTTTTAAATCATTACAGTCTATAAGAGAAACACTTTTATTTGCTTTATATTAAACTGTAGTGAAAATAATGATAGTTTTATTATCATTAAAAGCATACATGTAAAGTACTGTATATAATTAGATTTTAATTCTATTATTATTTATCTAATTTATATTTTAATTTGTAGGTTTGAGTGCCAATTATGAGTTTTAGATAGCGGTGGTTGTTATTGAAATGTTTATATTAAAATAAATATAAATTATGGTCATTATTTTTAATTGTACCAATTTGATTCTTTCAATAAATAATAAATTATATGAACCAATTGGTTGTTTAAAAGCTGTTTGCTTGTTTGTAAATTATAATATAAGTTGTCTCGTTTTTTAATTGTAATTTATTTTTATTTTAATAAATATTTGGTTAAAAATTAATTTTAATCTACCAAACGATTTACGGAATAAATTTTATTTTAACTTTTTAAACAGCATTGTTCAATTAATAAATTAATAGTTTTATTATGTAATTTTATTTATTTCGCAAATTAATTTTAATTAATTAACATTGAATTTAAAAATTTACTATTGAATAATTTTTATATTATTTAATTATTAATACAATTAACGTTTATAATTTTATTTGAATTTCATATTTAAATATAATACTTTTGTGAGTAGAAAATTTAATCATAATCATCATAATTACCCTGTTCATCATAATAACCACCTTCATCATAGTAATCATCATACTCTCGATAGGCATTTGGATTATTCCTATCATTAAAAACATGATAATCCCTATATTGAGTGTAAGACTTGCTTTGATTAGTGATATGAATGGACTCTAATCTATCACTTTTGGTGAACATTGCCTTCAAATCCCATTCATTAGCGCGAATACCAATCGCTTCCCGTATTTTCAATGTCTTCAGTAGACGTAGTCTTGAGATGAGATTCAAAGCAATTGATTGTATATTGAGTTTAATCTTTTCGTGGATATCCAGATGTAAAACATTAGGAAATACTTCAGTAATTTTCTCCAACACTTCGTTTGGTATTTGCCATAAATCCAGCGATAATTGCCTTAATTGTGGCAAACAATGCATTGAATCCAATCCGTGCCAATCAGTCGGTTGTTGTGAATTGTTTGGGAGACAGAGATTTAAATCCAATTGTTTTAGTCGTTTAAAGTGTTTCATAGATTTCATGCCATTAATGCTTATAATCGGTGTTTCGGACATCCATTGAAGCGATAGTTTAGACAATTTTGTTAAATTCAAACCAATTTTGCGCAACGAATCGCTTAACGAGAATTGGAGCTGATTTGAGGACCACATGAAACTCAGCCCCAATTCCTTCAATGACGACAAGTTTGACAATTGAGACATCATTTCAACAATAATAACCTCGTTATCGGGAACCGGATTAATGCCAACCACTTTCAAAGTTACCAATGATTTCATATTTGCCACAAATATGGCAAACATTTCGGTTGAAAAACCATAATTAAAGCTAAATTCAAGGCGCTTTACATTTTTGGCCAATAATTGTTGGTTTGAATCAAACAAATGGTTAAAGCATTGGATCTTGAGATCAGATAATTGGTGACAATTAGATAGCAATGAGTGATTGAAGTATTGCTGGCCATTGTTGTGGTGATGATACCCACCATTATAATAGTGTTCAGTATAATTAAGCCATACTTTGGTAATCATTGGACCAAACATTTCAAACAAATATTTTGGATTATTATTCCCATTATCATAGAGATTGACATTAATTTTAATCGCCTTCAGTTTTGGCCAATTGTCTCGCAATTCATTGATCGCCACAAATAGTTGTTTCGCGTATGGGTTTTGATAAACACGTGTTGCGTCCACTCGTGTTATATTCGGGCATTTTTTCATCAATTGTGACAAATAATATGATGTGAAATATTTGTTACCAAAAATGTTTTTCTCGCATAATTTGGTGATCAGTTTGTCGTCGACATCAATGTCTTTAAGTGTTGTGTAAAGCAATTTATTGAACCGTTTGGACAGTCGTTCAAAATAAAAGCGATCTTCGAGTGGGAGATAACTGACCATCACTTCAACCAAATCGTCGCCAAACCTCTCAAACGAGTCTTTTGTATCAAATATTTCATCCATTTTTCAATTACTTCTTAACACAAAGTGTTTCTAACATTAAGTGCATTGATATATAAATCTTTACTCTTTTATACAAAAAATTTCAATACTAATAATTCAATTCAAAATACTAATCAATACTTAATATAATTGAATACTTATAGAGAGTAAGTGAATACAAAATCCTAATAACTGAATAGTATATGAGATTTTTCGCAAAATTTCTAAAATATTTCCTTTGAACAGTCAATGATTGTTTTGTTACATCTAATTATTGATGATTTTACCTAGATGAGATTATTTGCCGCAACATTCACCGTTAAATTTTTATAAAACTCACTTACACAAATGTTTGTAACCATGTAAGTAATTAACCTTTCTATGATGCTATGTGAAAAATTTTAAATATACTTTAATCTAGTAATTTTTAATAGATAATCTCGCTAACAGGTCATGCATATTACTTGTTAGTATACAAAAATAGACATTGATACAAACAGTGTATATTTTAAATAATTATCAAGTTTTAATTGAATGTGAATTAATCACATTCAATTTCCAATTTAAAAAATCAAGTAAATAAAGTACAATTTTATATTTAATTAAATGTCAATAAATATTTAACTAATAAATTATTTAAGTAATTAAATGAAAGTAATTAAAATTTTATTTTTATTTAATTATGGCTAGCGTGAAATTCATTAACATCAATGTTAATCAATATATTTTTGCACGACATCGTGTGATTTATAGAAGTATTATTTTGAATTAAATTTTCGATAAATACAGAAATCAAAATTAAAATAATATTTTTTATTACTAAATACATGGTTGAAGTGATATTCTATTATAATTTTAGTCCAAGCGCCACAATTAAGAGCTATTTTAAATCTATTGATATGAGGTAAGACATACCTAGACACTATTAGGCAGGCCATAGGCCACACTCAGCCGACGACACATCTCAAACAATACACATAAAAAGTGTTGAATTGAAAACATTTATAAAATTATTAGTTTTAAGGCTTTAATTATTATAACACAAAAATGCCGTAAAATATAGGATTTTATTAAATACTAAATAATAAACACTGAATACATAATAATGTATAAAATACTGTATTAGTACTAATGTACTCAGTTTAGTATTATCTTGAAATTTAATACCTAAAATACTAATTCAGTAATCAATCAAAATTGTACATAGAATTGAATGCTATGTTTGAATTTAGTGTTTTTGATGTATAAACAAAAAATAGTTTAATTGAAAATACAATAAAGGTATTAAGATGTAGAAGTAATCATAAAATTATTTAGTAAATGTATTAAATTAAATGATATTTGTAAATGACAAATAAGTTTATAGGAATATTGAGTATTTTTGATGAATACAGAAAATATTTTAAAACTAAATACAGTACAGGTTTAAAAGTTAATTGAAAAAGTTTGGCAATGAAAACATTTAACATTTTGATAACTAACTAAAAACACTGTAATAATATGTCATTGAATTAATGTCACAAAATAATAGTTCCGGAAAAATGTATTTATCAACAAGAATATTTGGTCTAAAAATTTCCTAACTATTATAATGCTTTTTGATAATAATCAAATTTTCTTAAAGGAGGGTGGGCATTTTGGGGATAGCGTGCACCCGGGAGTTATTTTTATAAAATGAAAGTACTTTCCCTAAGGAGTCAAGTGATATACTACATATGGTCAAGTGACCTCTGGTTTTACCGCAGTGACCACTTTCAACGGGAAAAATATGAAAGTCAAATCTTTTATTCTATAAACAAGTATATCATATTATATATCAATAGAAAGGTATGATGGAGAGGATTAATGTCCTGAAAGAATTTTTAAATTCTGACGTCAGTGACCAAAATTACAGCAAGAATAAGAAGTTTACTTACAATTTTGCGCGTTATTTAGGCCGTATAACATTTTTATTCTAATTTGTGCAAATGAATTATAATTTTGATTACAATCTCAGACAGAACGCACAGCACACTAAGCAAATAGTAAGCGCATTATTCCTTAAAACTATTACTATGGTAAAGATAATGTAATGGCT